CCTCTGGCGGCGCTCAGCCCTAAGCCAGGATTAATCCCGTCTCCCTGCCCCCCCCTTATGCCCTGGGGGGGTGAGGGGGGGTCCAGGCTGTGGCAGCATCTGTGTCACCCCCCCCCCCGATCCCCTCTGGCTGCTGGTGGCTCACGGTGAGCCTTTATGGGGCACAACTCCCCCCATCCCCTTTCGCCACAGTCCCTGCTTTCCGGAGCCCCACAGTGTGGAGCACAGAGGATGCTGAGCTGACTTGGGGGGGGGGTCTGCGGGGAGACCCCTCACAGATCCCATCCCAAACCCCCACCCCTCCAGTCCCGCTGGTTCCGCACCCCTGGGCTCTCACCCTGCTGCCCCCCAGCTCCCATCCCCACATCTCTGGGTCCCAGAACCATAGGATCCCACACCCAGCACCCCAAAACCTCCTGTCCCCATATCCCTGCTGTGTCCCATACAACCCTGCACCCCCAAATCCCATCCCACATCCTCATCCCTCCACTCCTGCTGGTTCCACACCCCTGGGCTCCCACCCTGACACCCCCCAGCTCCCATCCCCACATTCTGGAACCTCTGGGTTCCAGAACCAGAGGCTCCCATTTCCAGCCCTCCAATCCCAGCACCCCAAAACCTCCCGTCCCCATATCCCTGCTGTGTCCCATCCCACCCAGCACCCCCAAATCCCATCCCACACCCCCACCCCTCCACTCCTGCTGGTTCCACACCCCCGAGGTCCCACCCCAACATCCCCCAGCTCCCATCCCCACATTTCTGGGTCCCATTACCATAGGATCCCACACCCAGCACCCCAAAACCCCCTGTCCCCATATCCCTGTTGTGTCCCATCCCACCCAGCACCCCAAAATCCCATCCCACACCTCCATCCCTCCATTCCCAGCACTCTGCTGGTTCCACAGCCCTGGGCTTCCACCCTGTCCCCCCCTCCAGCTCCCATCCCCACATCTCTGGGTCCCAGAACCATAGGACCCCATACCCAGCTCCCACAAACCCTCCTGTCCCAATTCCCTGTTGTGTCCCATCCGCCCCAGCTCCCACCCCCACATCCCTCATTGAGAGGGCAGCTTCCCTCATTGCCCTGCAAAGCAGCAGGGATGGATCCCAAAGCTCATCGTGGCTCTGGCTGTGCTGGGGGGGGGGGGGCAGAG